TTTTTACAGGGCATTTGCCTTATTCATTAGAGACTTCCAAGACTCTTGGTCTTGAGTCTTGACTCAAGACCTTTCTTGGGTACACTATAATTAATAAGATAGGGTTTATAAATGTTTGTGGATAACTAAAATTCGTAGACTTACTCGTTCTTTGATTTGAAGTTTTTTTTATTTTCTGCAAAAAGCATTTTTTTGTTTTCAGTCGTTTGTTTTCCCGTAATTTCCTTGAAGTTTTATTAGATGATTGTTTGACATATGTAATAGTGTAATTTCTGTGTATTAGCCTTACGCTAGGATCATGGATGAAAATTTGAATAATAATTTATAGAAAAATATTTTTTAAGAATCCACCGAAGAATTGAGCAAGCGTAACTGTCATCAAATTAATTACACATTAAATAGTTTAATTTCTGAAAATTTTACTCAATTATACTATTATCTGAAAGATAATACATCGAAAAAAGATGGAAATTTATTAGAAAAACTTAGAAGAATTGTAGTCAACATATTATTAGCTGATAAAAGTAAACAACAATACCTCTTTAGCGGTTTTCACCAAAACATATTGATGTATCATCCGGATAACGAAACTTTTAAACTACATCTATTGTTTCTCGATAACGTTATAAAAATTATTTTATTAATTTTTTAAATAATAAATTAAAATAATTGAAAACTTTTATAATTTTAAGCTGAAAGAAATGTGCCGTGAATATGTAAATACTTCAACCTGGGGATATCAACATAATTATGGACAAGGAAGTGCTTCAGAAAATTGGAAATACCCGCAACACAATCAGTATTTTAGTGGGCATCATCAGCAAAACTATGGACATCATACAGATTATGTAAATCAGCAAATTCATAATCAACAAGGTTTTGGAGACCAACAACACAGTGGACATTTCGAAGGAAATATGGGAATCCATGGAGGCTCGGGATATCATGGTGAAGAAGATATGGATACAACTGAATAGAGGGAATTTGATGACTGAAATATTCACGTTGAAAGAAGAATTTGGAAGTTGGACATTCAGATGATGTTAATTTAAAGCAGGGCTCCGATTCGTACTTTATTTGAAAGTAGTACTTTAAAGTCGATTTCCGTACTTACGAAATTGAATTTGTACTTTATTGAAAGTATGTACTTTAAAATCAACATTTTGAAAAAATGGAAGAAATCTGACTTAAGGACCTCCAAAATTCTCAAAATTTTCGCCTGCTGCGCAAAAAATAGAAATTTTGTGTCGCCATAGGCGCCACAAAAAAGCGCATTGAAATGCACAAAATGCTCAGTGGAAAAAAGAAATTATTAGAAAAGATTAATTTAGGAGAGAAATATAAAAGATTTTAGCACGAATAAATATTTTCCAATTTAATTTGGAGTGTATGTACTTTAAATTTGGAAATTTTGTCCCTATGTAAATTTGGAAATTTTGTCCCTATGTCCTTTAAAATCGAGATTTTTTACTTTAAATTGGAATTTTGTCGATCGGAGCCCTGATTTAAAGCCTTGCGTTTGATATTTCATAGAAAACCCATCTTAAATCTGACAAAAAATTTAAATTAAAGGTGGAACTAAGCCTTTTTTTGTTTATTTTCGGAGTTTATAGCGCTGTTTCAATTTTCAATGGGGTTTTCTTTCGAATTTCTCATTTATTTGATTATGTGGCGTTAAAATGGAGGAACTTTTTCTGCCTGTAACTTTTCGCTTTTAACAGAGAATCTGGGATAGAGGCACTATTTCCTAAACATTATTAAGCTTTTAACCTTAATTTAAATTTATTTTTCTTTTCGATAGAATTCCTTCATTTTATAAACATTTCCCCATTAAAATTAAACAATTCCCTCTCCTTATATTAAAAACATCCAGTATATTACTGGCAACTTTTAAAGTGTTCAATGAGGCCGATTTAGCGGTCTTGGTAGGAAACACTATATGTAGTTTTTATCTTCATTTTCTGATATTTATCATTAAATTGTTTTTATTTTGAAAAAATGTCGATAAATTGAAGAAAATTTGATTTTTTAATTTTTTAAAAATTTAATAAAAAATAAGGATTTAAAAATATTTGTTAAAAAGAAATTAAATGTACGGAATTTAAAATATTTTGTTTTCATTGGCTGCTTGAGTTTCATAAATTAACAACTCCAAAAAATGCTTGGATTGACATATTAAAGATATTAAAAGAGATTCATTTGAATATTAAAAATTTACTTACCTACATTACTTATTTATTTTATTATGTTGGAGAGTCGGTAATAGACATTTGAAGTGTCAACAATAAAAATAGAAAGGTGCTAATTCTCTCTTTGACATCAAGTTTTTCTCAAAATTTAATTATAATTTTATTTATTAAAGGCTTTTAGCACACACATCAAGAAGGCTATTTTAATAAATTACTATTATTATACTTTACAATAATAGTAATTTATTAAAATACAATGGAATGTTTCGACATGTTTTCCGAATATACTAATCGAAAAATTCATAGGAAATAAAAACATCTTTGAGTTTTAAATAAAATTAAAATTTTCCCCTGAAATCAACATATTCTTTAAAGAAGACTTCAATTTCTTTTAGAATTTTGGTTTTCAAAGTTTTACCTAATAATGTAATCCACGACTATCTTATTAAGTTTTAAACTTCTGACACGTAAGCATTTTTAATTGTAACCATCTTTGTCTTTATTTACTATCTATAGACTTCTTTGTCAGTTGACCTTTACCGTAAATGTTAAATAATTATTAGGGTAATTATTACTTAACCTCACATTGGAGGGGTTATTTAATCGAGAGGGGGAATTAGTTGAGCATATGCGGTAATTTTTAAATAAAGGCATTTTTAAGGAAAGGATTATCAAATTTAATTTTTTATTTTGCTTCTAAATAAATAATATTTTAAAAAATTTCTTTAATTTACACATAACAAGTTTTTATATTTTTAATAAAATTAAAAAAAAACAAATTTTCTTCAATTTATCGACATTTGTTTAAAATAAAAACAATTTAATGATAAATATCAGAAAATAAAGCTAAAAGCTACATTTAGTGTTTCCTACCAAGACCGCTAAATCGGCCTCATTGAACACTTTAAAAGTTGCCAGTAATATACTGGATGTTTTTAAATGAATGGACTTGTTCAGAAAATTTAAATTAGAGACAGAAATTTCTCATTTAATTTCTATTTCTAATTTAAATTTTTGCCAGATTTTTGAAATTGTCTTTGTGAAACATTCACCTCTTATCAATCTAATACCAACTCGTTATTGGATTGATAAGTTATAACTTTTTAGTATTTCTAGGACTCGTAAAAATGGGTTCAGTCACTAAATTAAAGAACTCCAAACTAGAGTTCAGCGGTATCGGGATTTAGAGAAAAACCCGGGATCGGGATTTAGGAATAGTCATCCCGATCCCGATCCCGACACGGGATCGGGATTAGCCAAAATCGGGATCGGGATTTGGACTGGAGATCCCGATCCCGGTCCCGATCCCGAATCGGGACCGGGATTGAAAACTCGGGATCGGGATTTACTAAAAAAATTTTTTTTAACTTTTAAATTTTTATTTTCTTCACAAACGACTCAGTATAATTCTAAAATTGCCGCTGCGGTGCTGAAATATAGAGTTTAAGTCTCATAAACACATAATTTACTTTCCGGTTGGGGATTATGGGGAGATAAGGGGATTAAGGGAGATAATTTAGGGGATTAGAGGAGATAAGGTAATGGGGGGGGGGGGATAAATGGGATTGGGCTTCTATTTTAAGCGCCGTAGGCTAAAATTTTGAAAAATTTGGAAGGCCAAGGTGCTAGATTTCCTCCCTTTTAAGCGTCGCAGGCAACATTTTTTAATTTTGGAAGGCCAAGGGCATTCAAGTCTAACGATTAAGTGCGTTACGCTAAAACGTGGACGATTAAGAACTGACATTAAGGTATTAAGTGATATATTCATTTAGCAATATCTCTTAAGCCCTCGATTTCTCTTCAAATCTAACTCAATCCCTGTAAATCCACCGATACTCCTCTCAATCCCTCTTGATCCCTCGATATCACACCAAATCACTCAATATTTCATTAAAGTTGTAAAGACAGCTTTGTTCATTTTTGCGGCGCCGCAGACGAAAATTTTGAGATTTTGGATGTCAACATGCCAAATTTTTTCCATTTTCTGCGCCGCAGGCGAAAATTTTTCTTACTTTCATGCCTCCCCTCTTTTGTTAACTTTATTTCACAGACTTCTAGTCAATTTATAAAGTCGGGATTTGCATCGGGATCTGATGCACATCCCGATCCCGATCCCGGATCCCGGCTCGGGATTGAGAATGACCGGGATCGGGATCGGGATATTTATTTCGGGACCGGGATCAGAAAAATCGGGATCGGGATTCGAAAAACCCGGGATAATCCCGCCCGATCCCGACCGGGATCCCGATCCCGCTGAACTCTACTCCAAACAAAATTACTATAGAAGTATGTTAATTGAAAAAATTCAAAAATCTGGCTATTCAAATTTAAATAAATACTTTTTGAATACTTTGAATGCCATCTCTAATCAATATCTTCTTCAGTAATTTCCTTGATATCCACCATGACCGCTTCCATGTCCTAAGTCATAATTATGTCCTTCACCATATCCCCTTTGGTATCCTGAGCCATAATGATGTCCTCCACCTCGGCTACCTTTATTTTTTGAATGGCGTCCTCCGCTTTGACCACCTCGATGTCCATGTCCCCCAATTTGATCAGGTTGTGATTTTGGTTTGCGGAATTGCCAACAATAGTCGCGTATCTTAAATTGTTTAATTAATTAATAATATTTAAATGCCTCAAAAATATTTATTAACTGATTTTTTTGTACCACATCTTAAACAAAAAAATTGACCTCAGCTGAATTGACTGATAGCTGACAAGGAAGAAGAGTAAAAGAATAATGATGGAAAAGGAAAAAATGAGTACCCAAAACATATAATTTTCGACAATTTAATTATTCGTGATTTAATTTATTATTTTTTTCCACAAGTTTAGATTATAAAAACTTACATGAATTGATAAGTGAATGCGTCTCTGTGGCAGAAATTCATTATAGCTAACCTGATTTCCTTCTATTTTCATGTAAATTCCAAACATTTTATCCCTGTGTTCCTCATATGTTTCCTCCGTCAAAAACGGATTTATAAAGTTTTGTTCAAATTTTAATTGAATATTTTGGTTAAGAGTAAAAAAGCATTTATGGAATGGCTCATATCTGTTTTTTTCTCTTGGATCCATACAAGCTCTATTAAACATTTTACAATCTTCAGCAGTTACTTGTTCGTTTATAACTAAAAATAATAATTATTGGAATAGTTTCTGAAAAAAAATTTCTGATTTTTTTAATTTTCTGATTTTTTCTCAGAAATTTTAAAAACTTGTTTATTTCAAATTCTTTTGTCAACTTTAATTGAGTTGATTATTCTTCAATTTAATTATAATTCAACTTAAAATTTTATAACATTTCAAAAATAAAATGTTTTACCATAATATGTAAAAATGTTTTCGCCATCAATACGTTCGTTAATATAATTTTCATTTTCTATTGAAACCTTTGACGCGGGTAGATAATCTGAATTTTCTATTTCTTTAAGGGACACATGATCCGCATTCCACTCTTTAATTTTGATTATCCATTCGTTTGCCTTTGCCTCATAAAGGTCATAGACCGTCAAATATTGCAAAATTGAAACTTTCTTTTCGCTTAAAATTTATTATTTGACTGTAATTTAGCCGGTGCCTTGTTTGAAACCGATTCAATTCATAAATCATTCGTCTCCGATTCAACTTAAAATTTTATAACATTTTTTCGGTTCGGTTCGGTTTGAAACCGACAAACCTACTCAGGAAAATATAAAAAATCCCCATAATCCTCAAAAGACCAAAAAATCCGCTAATCCGCATTTTTAAAAATAATCCTTATCGGCCTATTAAAAAAACAAAATTAGGAAATTCGCAAATATTTATGTAAATGCTGTTTAAAATAATTGTGAAAATATAATAAAACCTACGGATTAAACCGCTCAACCATGTTGTCATAGTATTTATTTCTACCATGAAGGTCGAAAAATGAACGGATGAACTTTCGGGCAAAAACAAAAAGACCAAAGGTAATGTAATGATTTCTCTCGTTTTCTGATTCTCCTCCTTGGCATAGAAAATCATTATACACTCCAACAACCTTTTAAAATAATTTTTAGATGAAATATAAAATGCATATTCACCTTTTTAATTTTTTTACAAGCTAGAGCTTCAGGATTGCAATAGCTGTCTATAATTATTTCTAAACGAAAATTCGAATATTGTTGTAATATTCCAACTGTTAGATTGTTCAAAATTACAAAAAGAGAATATATTTCCGTAAGCGAAAAGTTGGGAACTCCTTGAATTTCATCAACTTCAGCCTCAAACTCTGCATAATTTTGCTCAACCTCTTGAACACCTTGTTCAAATTCTGATGCACTTCCTTCTATCAGTTGTTTTCCCTTTCCTAAATTTTTTTATTTTTAAATAAATTATTATTTATGTATGGTTTCCAAAGTTTCAATAATCGCTATTCGCTTCTGAAAATCTAATTTTTTTAAACGACATACCATGCTCCATTCCATACGTCAATTGTATTTGACATTGGTTTATGACAAAATAAAATAATAAAATCAAAAGGAATTGTTTCATTTTATGAAACTTTATGGAGTTTCTGTGGGAAAGAAATCATAGAGAAAGTTTATAAATTATTAGGATCCGGATTTTCGGGAGTCCTGTGAATTCTTCGAAACTATATGTATTTGTATCCAAGTGACAAATTAAATTATAAATTTGTTTTAAAGGACCAAAAACTGTCAAAGTCTTGGTAATTTTTAGTCTTGAGTCTTCGTGAAAGTTTTTATGTTGTGTTGAAGTAGAGGTTAATATTCTATTCTTTTCACGCCTACCATTTTTCGTTATGACCAGACCCAAGACAATAACAGGAACATATTCCGGCCTTAAACCCGATCAAAAGAATATTTTTACAACACGACCGTCTCTTTCCTAATTGAAGAGGATATATAATTTATATATCCTCATCTAAGGAGTTTATATAAATTAGAGGTCTGACTTAGTAACGTATGTCTAAAATTAGAACGGCATACAAAACTAATGTTTTTTTTAAATTTTTTGCGAGAAAAATATAAATGAATGGGTAATACTATAAGATGAGTGTCTTAAATAAGCGCTTGCTCAACAAATCTCGCAATATAAAAAAGTCCGCCCACTAAATATTAAACAAGAGTACACAGAGATGTTTCGAAATTTCGATTTTCTGCTAAACTCCTATATTATCCTCCGATATCTTCTCCAGCAAAAATTTTCAATTGAGACAATGCTTCAAAAATAACGGAAACAGATTTAATAGAAATTTTGGAAATTGAAAAATGAAAATGTCGAAGATTGAAATCGGAATTACGACCAACCTCTAGTTTGGAAGCTCTTGACTAAATTAGTACTTGTATTTGTACCCGAGTACGAAATACAAAAATTGGAAAAATAAGTAGGTGCGAAATTAGAGGACAAAATATGTACCTTGCCAGGCAAAATTACCAAACACGTGTTATTTACTCTAACCTTAATTAATTTTAAAGTACAACATTTAATGATTATGAAAGATTGTCTTTATTCATTTAGCAGTTTTATAGAGAATTCAGGCGCATAGACCCCAAACAGATGTTGTACCTCTAGGATGCTAGAGCATTTTGTTTAGTCTCCAAAACTTTAAAAGATTTATCAAAATTTTAATTAAGATTTTTGTTTACAATGTAGAAATTAAAAAAAAAATTCTAAAAATTCTTTTTTTCTCTCACCTAATTAAATAGAGAGAGAGAATCTTTCATAATCATTAAATGCCAACAGACACCTTTATTTAATTTTAAATTTATTAGAGTGTTCGGTAATTTAGAAAAAAAAACACGTGTTCGGTAATTTAGCCTAGCAAGGTACATATTTTGTACTCTAACTTCGTACCTATCTGTTTTTCCAATTTTTGCATTTCGTACTCGGGTAAGAATACAATTAACAATTTCGTCAAAAGCTTCCAAAACAGCGGTCAGTCAAATTCCGATTTCCAGTTTTCGATTTTCTATTTTTGATTTCCGAAATTTTTATAAAATTCCTGTTTCCGGTATCTTTGAAGCATTGTCTCAATTGAAAAGTTTGCTGGAGAAGATATCAGAGGATAAAGTTAATATAGTTTGATTTGGAGAAATTAAGAAGAGGCTTTTTTTCATTTCAGAGGATTTTCATGATTTTCGTTTAATTGAAAAAATATATTAAAAACGAAATATAAAAAGCAAAAAAAAAAGTAAAAGGCTTGAAAAAGAAAAAAAACCTGGAAAAGAGACAAACCCGAAAGCTGGAAAATAAAAACGCGATTTCCTGAAACCGATTTCGGGTTTCTGGTAGCTTGTTACATAACTGAAAAAATATCAATCTGTTGTTGGATCAAAATATTTTGAATTGGACTCATAAAAGTTAATTGGATTTTTAACATTCATTTATTTCATTCATTCTGCTAAAATTTTATTTAAAATATTTTAATCAAACAATTTTAATTGGACAATAATTAAACAAATTATATGTGCAATTTAGTGTTAATTTCTTCTATTACTCATTACTAATTATTAAATAATTTGTGTAAAAATCAAAAACAATGTTTTCGAGATACTCCACTGAAAAGCTTTTGTTTCAATCATCCAAAATATATTTTGCATTTCAAAAACAGGTTTGTAAACATTGGTTCTGAATGAAAGTTTTGAAGCGTATCCGAAAAGTTTCAACGTCATTTTTGAGGGTCTGTGCGCCTGAATTTTCTCCAAAACTATAAAAGTTTTATCAAAATTTTAATCAAAATTTTTGTTTACAATGTAGAAATTCTTAAAAAATTCCTTAAAAGTTCTTTTTTTCTCTCACCTAATTAAAGAGAGAGAGAGAGAATCTTTCATAATCATTAAATGCCGACAGACACTTTTATTTAATTTTAAATTTATTAAGGTTAGAGTAAGGGAAAACACGTGTTCGGTAATTTTGCCAGGCAAGGTACATTGTATTAGGTGAGAGAAAAAAAAAGAATTTTTTAGAAAAATTTGTTAAGAATTTTTTTATTGTAAACAAAAATCTTAATTAAACTTTTGATAAAACTTTTAGTTTTTTAATAATCTTTTTACTTTCTTTTTGAAAACAACAAAATATATAGAGAACGAACTTGTAGGAGAGAAAATAAGGTTTACAATTAAATAGGGATGAAAACAATTAATGGAATGAACAAATGAGCAGAGAAGTCAAATTGTATCACATCCTGCCGTTTCAGATGACTGCTTCCTCGACGTCAGAAAGTACTTTCACCTCGCCCTGTTTTCCAGAAAGTTTTGGGTGGCGAAGATGTTTTTTATTCTTTTTGAACTTCTTGGAACAGGGTGAGCATAATGATTCTTGAGACTGACTCGATATATGGAACCCGGTCTTCGATGAAATTGTTCCAATAGGACTCCAATGGTTAGAGGTTCGATCACCGTAGCTGATTCTACTAGGCCTTTCTTTCGCTTCCTTTCTTCCAATTTTTTTTCACTTTCTGCCTCCCTCGGGCCTCGAAAGATCATCACACACCATAAAAATGTTGCCGAACTAAAATATCAATCTGTTGATGGATTATAATATTTTGATTCGACTCATAAAATTTAATTGGATTTTTAGCATTCAATTATTTCATTCATTCTGCTAAAATTTTATTTAAAAATTTTAATCAACCAATTTTAATTGGACAATAATTAAACAAATTGTATGTACAATTTTGTGTTAATTTCTTCTATAATTCAATGTTAAGTATTAAATAATTTATGTAAAAATCAAAAATAATGTTTTCGAGATACTCCACTGAAAAGCTTTTGCTTCAATCATCCAAAATATATTTTGCATTTCAAAAACACTTTTGCAAACATTGGTTCTGAATGATATTTTTGAAGCGTATCCGAAAAGTTTCAACGTCATTTTTGGGGGTCTATGCGCCTGAATTTTCTCCAAAACTTTAAAAGTTTTATCAAAATTTTAATTAAAATTTTTGTTTACAGTGTTGAAATTCTTAAAAAATTTTCTAAAAAAATCTTTTTTTATCTCTCTGCTAAATAAATAAAGACAATCTTTCATAATCATTAAATGTACTTTAAAATTAATTAAGGTTAGAGTAAATAACACGTGTTCGGTAATTTTGCCTGGCAAGGTACATATTT